CAAGCAAAGTGCTGCACTACAGCCACTTCTCAGATGTGATGTTTCAGGGTGCGCAGACACAAAAATGTTCAGCCCAACTGAGCTGCCTAGCGATGATAATGTAACTGAACGTCCTGACTAAATACTGACTGTGATGAGTTATGTATTAGAGGAAGGACTTAAGTCTGTATTGTGTGGTTACACAGAGATAAACTGGACCACACACACACACAAAACTTGTGTGCTGACTTACACAGTGCCTCGCGTCACACTCGTCCTTCCTCTTCCTCACTGAAGGAACTAAACCTGACAGAGACAAATCTGTGTCTTAACTCAGTGGAGTCATAAAGTTACACAAAGCATCTCTCCCACAAAAATCCTGCATCAAACCATGTATGATTTGGAAAATGTACACACCTACCAAACCAGTGTAATGGTCTTTAAGGTCACCACAGTCGAAACACAGGCTGTGGTGACCTTAAAGGCCTGGTGACCTTAAAGACGCAGCTCCTAAAAAGCCATACTTAATAAAACACTTTGAGGAACTGAAAGCAACTGAAAACTTTTTTGGGTTCTGTGCAGCTCTCATAGACACAAGAGACCAGAATGTGTCTCCCCTCCAGGGTGGCTGAGTTCAGCCACGGAAACAACGTGAGAAGCTCAGACTTTTCCTGTTCACCTGGGCTCCCGGCTTCTCCCTGTGAAGGAGCACACGACAGGGATTATAAATCCCATCTGGCCTGGGAGCGAGGTGGGACTCCCAGGAGGAGCTGAAAGGCAAAGCGGGAGAGAAGGACGCCGGCTACCAGAACCCAGACCAAAAGAAAACAGATGGATGAGAACCGGAGGGACTGTAAAATGACTGCAGAACTCTGAAACAGATTTCAGTATGATTCTAACGCGCTGCAGCTCCTGTCCAGGTGTTTCAATGCACTTTCCAAATCCATAAAGACTTCTCCATCTTGCCCATAGTGAAAAATGTCCAGTAGATTTTTCACCTGTTTTACAAGCTGAAGAAGGCGAGACTTTGAACATGTCCTCAGAAGCAGGCCTTTTTGTTTTTTTTCTTTGATGAAAATACTGGCTTATATGATCTTGCAACTTGCACACACTCATTAATGCCAAATTTACAAATGATGATTAAATGTCAGGCGCACACCAGGACTCCTATTCACTTCTTTCAAATCACATTAAAGCAAAGAAGATTTAGGATAAACAGACCACGTGGGACTGGTTGCATGTTGTTCTGGTAAATCCGCCTCAGCAGCAGAAACAGGACAATCAGGCTCCGGCCCTCTGGGGGCCCTCTGGCTCCTAACGGCCTCGTCTCAGCACACAGATTCCTCCCGCTGACCTCATGGGTCACATACCAACAAGCTCCCGTAACGAGCATCCCTAACGGCGGCTGCTAATTAGCGTCCCTAACAAGGCTGGGCCAGCTGTCACTCTGCAGCGCTGCTGCATGTTCGCCGTGTGATCGGCATGTTGCAGGCACATCAGCAGAATACTGACAGGGCCAGGGTGATGCCACAGGGCACACCACATGCACAGTCACATCTTTACGACAGCCACATTTTCCTCTATTCATATAATCACTGTGTGCAGAACAATGCGCACTGACATTGTTAAAATTATTTAGCTCGAGTTTCAAGCTGTTGCATTCTCAGCACTCTCTCCGGTTTGTCCAGGCGGTCTTGGACTCATTAAGGGCATTATGGCCTGACCTGGTCACGAGCAGCTTCACCTGCTAAATTGCTACTAAAGGGGCTTCTACAAAAAACCGATCCCAGAGATCGGTTTTCAGCACATTTGTGGACATTTCTCCAAACATGTCATTTTGTTGCTGTGGGCCAGTGAATGTAGACTGATGGTCAAAAGTGAAATTAAATCAACACAATGACCTGCACATGAAGTGGGTCTGGACTCCTTCTGCATGTGAAAGGACTCGAGATACAAACTGACATTTTCTCAGTGTTTATCATGCACGTCACTTCTTGTGACACGGTGTCTATGCCGAACGGTGGCCCCTCAGAGTCAGTGAGACCACACTGCTATGTCTCATTTCCAAGTGATTCAGATAACTCTTCCAGTAGAAACAATAGGGTGTTGTGAGCCCAGTAACTGAAATCACAGCTCTGTATACAATACACTCCTTCTTCTGACATGATAAGCATTAACTGCTGCCACTATCGCAGCTCCGGTATCATCTGAGCATGATGCTGAGGTGACAGATATGTTACTCATACTGGGTTATCGCCAAGTAATTCCCTCTCCACACAGAACATGTGAGCACAATGTTAGACTGAATAATGAGGTGACAATCCAGGCAGATAAGCGTCTTATTCATTTCTGTGCTCAGTTTTTTAAGGCATAAAAAAGAAAATATCAGGCCTGGACTCACAACTCTGCACCACTTCTGTAGTGGAGCTGTTGATGAACAAACATGAACTTTGCTTAGAAGCACAGACAGAATCAGGAAACTTAAGGGCCTTCAGACAGTGCATCGATTGTCCGGGTTGTGTCCAGTCCAGGCCATGGCACGCCTGAAGTCGTGCCCCTGGGGACAAAGGTTCACCCAGGTGGGATGGTCTAAGCACAACACAACATAAACAACAACTGGTTTCTGAGGTGAAGGTGCAGAAGAGATCGTGCTGACCTTGGACCAGGTACTCCCAACACAGATGGGCTGCACTTTGGCTGATTTTGTGTGCTGTGGCTGGTTGTAAGCCCCAGTGTGTCAGTGTGTGCTAGCTCCGTGAACTTTGCCCCGTGTGAATCAGCATCATGCATAAGCAGAGCAGCTTCATCGCTGGAAGAAAGCAACACTGTGATCAACATCACTGTCATCGGCACTCACTCACTCATCTACATCCAGCAGCGGCCTCGTCTCCCTCCCTCTACTGGCTTCTAACTCGAACTGAGCCGACACCGTTGACTCACGTCGTCTCTCTGCAGAATGAGAAACTCTGCCACAGTCTGAAATCTCAGCACGACAAACGTCCATGTCAGTGGAGTTGAGCCACAGTGTAGGCTCTGACAAACACATTGCTGAGGGGGCTGGAGGATGAAAATAAATGCATTCAGGTAGTAAATGAAGAAACAGCTGCAACAGTGGTGACTGATTTACATTTTTCTCTTAAATACAACCATTACAGTTGTTTTTGGCACCTGTTTTAATTTTAGTTTTAGTATAGTCTTTGTGTGAAGCTGTCATTTTAGTTTTTTATTAGTTTTAGTCATGTTCAAACTCTTTTTAGTCTAGTCTAGTTTCAGTAAACTAAATGTCTGAGCATTTTAGTCTAGTTTTAGTCAGAATTATTCATGACTATTTTCATCTAGTTTTAGTGACTGGCCATCTGTCACTTTCTCTGTGTCAGACTTAACTTTATTTGTTGTCGTCTTCTATTTAATGCTGCGAGTGGGGCTTAAAGAAGTCACATCGCCTGCGTCTGCGCAGTGTGACCTGATGCGGCCCCTGAAGCGAGACACAGGAAACAGAAATACTGCAAAATAATAACGCAACCAAATGAGACAAAACAACGTTATAACATTTCGTTTCATCTCGTTTTGGTCAACAAAAATGAAGAGACATTTTAGCATAGTTTTTATTTTGTAAACCACATTTAGTCTCATTTTTTTTGTCAACGATATTGCATTGTATATTTAATTATAGTCATCGTCACATGACCAGCATTTACGTTGCGTCCCGTATTCATCATGTGATAAAGGTTTGTTGACGACAATATTTAGCCAAGATTTTCGTTGACGAAAGCAACTATAACAACCATTATGTTTCAGTTCTTAAGCCATCAAACCTTGAAATGCCGAGCATGCAGAGAGAACTGCTCGGCTCTGCTTCACCTGAGACTGTTTCTCCTCCAAACTACACAACCAGACAGGTCTTCTATCACAACCTTCCTAAATCACACATTTTTCTGATCCTGCACCACTTTGGACAGGATGAGACAGTTGGTCAGTGCCTTCAAAAATCAGGAACTACATGTACACTACGGGTGGAAAGTCTTAGAGCGCCTCTGCTGTTCCAGGTTTTATTTTGCCATGTGAACAGTTCAGTTTCTCTGACGACTCCACTCTCCTGTGTTTCTCCTCCTTCTGGTCCTCTCCCTCCCATTTCCTCTAGTCCCTTCATGTCCATCCTCTTCCTCATTCATCTTCTTCCCTGTCTGCATCAGCTTTGTTCTTTCACCCATCCTCCTTTCCTTCTTCCTGTAGCAGCCTACAAGTCCTACAAGAGTTAGCTCTCTATTAGCCTGCTAGCTACACATTTGCGTTCACAGAGGAGTTTCATATAGCGCGGTCAGCTTCTGTTTTCCCATGTGTTTTCCAAAGGCAGCTCCACTGTGAGCTGGATATAGTCTCATTCTGTCTGACACACACTGTCACAGCTGTGTCAGTCAGTCTGTCAGCACCCTGCTCTTAGCCTAGACACTAGCACAGATACTAGTCAGTTCTGACATGTCACACAACACTGCAGTGCAGGGTACTAGGAGCGAGACTCCGACACACAATGAGACACACACACTCGGCTCCATTTTGCCAAAACTATAAACCACAATAAACAGGAGGCAAATGTTACACAGGCGGTTTTAGATTTACACAACTGCATATTCTGCTTTCTTGCATTTGTTTTTTAATTTAGCAGGAGACTAAAGCCTATCACTAAAAGCCACACAGAATTATTAGAGTTTAGCAGGGAAGATTTCTTAAATGATGGATTAAAAGGCACTTTTTTCATAAAGTCAGCTGACTAGGCACAAAGACAGCGCTAACACCTGATCTATCAGCACGGGTGCCCCCCAGGGATGTGTGCTCTTCTCACTGCCGTTTTCCCTCTACACCAACGACTGCACCTCAGGGGGACCCCTCTGTTAAACTCTTAAACCCTTCAGGCTTTCAACAGGCTCCACCCTCAGCGGTGAGGTGAGCCCGTGTCATCCGCCCACAGCCATACGCACTTTCTGAACTGGTCTGAAACCCAGACACAGAAGAGGTGGACTCACCCTGCATCAGTGCTGTTCCCACAGATTAAGGCATCTTTGGCTCCATCCGCCTTGTAGAAGTTGTCTGGAAAACAAAAACCAAAATTCCAGTTTAGATTCCAGATTGTCCCAGCTCGGTCTCCACATACACAGGTATTTCCACTGTCTGATGAGTCCTCTCCTGGACTGGACTTGACTGACATGTCCTTCTCTCTCCTGTTAGTCCTGTAGCAGTAAGCAAATAAATAACTGAAAGCCTCTGTAAATGTGTGGAAGACCCCTGCGTGAAGAGTGCATGTCAGGATTTGTCCCGGTTCCACGCTGGTTTCTGTGTGAGGGTATTTCATGTGTAATATACATGTGAACAAATGTTTCAAGTGTGAAGTGGTCATATACGATGTCAAAACTGTGCACTATTAGACAACAAATGATACAGTGTGAGTTTGTGCTCACCTCGCTGTCAGTGTGTGTTACCGCAGGATCAATAAACTCATCAAACTCGGCTTGTGTGTTCTGGCCTGGTTAGACACCATATGAGCGGGAGGCTATAAAATCAAACCCATTACAGGACCCGCAGTTTGCTGAGCATTTATTCAACACTTAAATGTGACCACAAGCCATTTCCAAGTACATTAATATCCTTTAACACCAGCACATGAAGTACTTCAGATACTTCGCTCAGGGACTGAAGTATCAGACACAACTATTTCAGAAGCTTTTAATGCACATCTGCAGAAATAAAACAAGCACTTCTTCACTTTTGATGTGGTCTGATGATTCAGTATTTATGCCTGAGATAAAGGTATTTAATCAGGTAGGCTTTTCTTTTTTGCTGCTTCACAAAGTTTCTCAAATGTGTCTTTAAAGATGTATTTTAGTGTTTCTATCTGATTTGTTTTTTCTCTTTAAACAAGTTGGAAGGTTTAATTAAAGTGAGGTTATTGGCTACATGATAAAAGACGTCCTTCACCTCCTTCCAACGGCAATAAAAGACCAGACCAAGGTGAAACAATAAATCTAAAATACATAAAATACATTTACAAATGAGTGAGTGAAGCTCTAACAAGAGAGATTAAAAAGGGTCAAACACTGTTGCTACTGTAGCTAATGTTCAAAATTGCTACTTGAAAACCTGTGATGCACAAAAATTTAAGCCAAAACAACGTACACAAACAAAGCTAGCCACAGCCAACAGCGGCACTGCAGGAGGCAGCGTGTCACCAGGCTTCCACCAGTGTAGCTGCTCAGCTATTCGGTGAAGAAGAGATGAACTAAAATGTTTGGAATGATATCTGAAAATTAGGTCCAGCTAGTCAAAAATGGTCTTTAAAGTTGCTTTTCAGTCTCACACAGTAGTGTTTGGGTTAGGTGTTAGGTTAGGGTTGTTTACTCGCCTAGAAAACTGTCCCAAAGTGTGAGAACCATCACCTCCCATTCTGAGGCATCTACAGTAACATCAGCACTAGAAACTGTATTTTTGTTGTGAAAAGCTGTTCCTCTGTGAGTCAGCCTTACATAACAGACAGGGAACCTGACAGACGCCACATCAGATACAACTTTTCAGAGAAATGGTGACCTTAAATGGTGGCTTGACATTTTCATCCATTTGCCTTACGGGAACAACTATTCAGGATACTCATCTTTTATTCAACACATAATCCGAACCACATGCATTTAACTCCAGCCATTATGACCAATTACATAGCATTCCAATAGAAAATATTAAAGTGGGAGTGATGTTCTTATCGTACTCCACTAAATGTACTCAGGGAAACAAAGGAAGCTGCTGCAGTAAAACCTGTTTGAAATGAAGCACTTCAACAATTCAAAGGCCTTGTTCTTCTTCCCTTTATTGTGGATGCACAGGTGCAAACTTTCCTCTTCTGACAAACAGAAACAGGTTCTGTGGAGCTCCTGGTCGGCTCCGACCCCAACTGACCGCTGCTGCACCAGAGGCACTTAAGCTTTTTAGGAGCGCGGCCATTCATTTGTTACTGAGTGTATCCCTGCTCGCCAACAAACACTTCTGGAGTGGTTTTGTTCAAAGTAACGAGGAAGCCTGTGCAGTCGCAGTCATTACCTGAGGCTCATCACGGTTCCAAAGCATCCCTCTGGTAAATGCATGTTATTGTATGTATAAAGGAACACTTAATAAAGGATTTTCTCAGAGACCCCTATGTGAGAAGATCTCAGAGCTGCAGAAACTTGGAAAACTGTCTCAACAGGATGTCGGGGGAGTGGGCTTCATTTCATTTCTTTTCAAACTCAAGAGCAGCTAATTACTGTGACAAGCCTAAATATACCTACCTGTCATGCATTTTCATCTGTAGGAGATAAGAAAAATAAACCGAGACACTCTAAATCTGCACTGCCACTAATGAAAGACATTGTTCACTGATAAAGCTGTTGTTCAAATTCCTTTGCACTCTTCCATCAGAAGCTTTAGTCATGTTTTTGTGGAGGTGGTGAACAAATCCAGTAGCAAACCTGAACCAAACTGATTTATACTGATGAACAAAGAAAAAAGACTGAGTTTCCTGGGACTGAATTAACTGAGGTGAGGTCACATATCTCGCTACCTGCTCCTGTCCTGGTGCATCAACTTCAGTTACATAAAGCAGCATGGAGCCTACTACACTACGTACATGAATAAACCTTTGCACTTTTGACTTCTTTCATCACAGGCCAGTACATATTTAACCCAGTTTTCACTCAGGGTTATGAACCACTGGTTTCAAGGACAGACAGGGGCCATCTGTGCTTCTACTGATCCTATTGATCAGTTCAGACGACGTGATGTTTTTGTCCATTATGACGGTCGCTACGTCAGATTACACTAATACAAGGTCATACATTCTTGGATGAGAGATGTGACAGACTACACGGTACCCGGCAGATCACAGCCCACCTCATTCACGAGTTGGAGGTGCCAGGGACCAGCAGAATGTAAACAGAGAGTAGCATCTGTGGTGTGTGTGAAACTGGCACCTTGTGGTTGGAAAAGCATAATAAACCAGGGGAGAAGCCCGTGAACCTGGCTGAGGGTCGCAGCCTGCGTTGTCTGTTCTTCACCGAGAACTTGAAACAGCAGCTAAAAACTTAAAAATTGCATTTTATGAAGAAAATGCGTATGGATGCTGAGTGCTGAAAAATCGCCCTGAAAATGCTGAACATTTTGACACCTGAACATTTTGATAGCTGAAAGTATACTGAAGTTGAAATTTCCCCATTTATTTGAATGGGGCAAGATTTTCAAAATAAAATTAAATATTTTAAAAGTATGAAGTTTAGAAAAATTCTAGAGAAGCATGAATGTCCTTGAAGAGCTGAACATTTTGATAGCTGAAAGTATGTTGAAGTAAAAACTTCCCATTCATTTGAATGGGGCAAGATTTTCAAAATAAAGCTAAATATTTTAAAAGTATGAAGTTTACAAAAGTTCTGAAGAGAAGCATGAATGTCCTTCAAGAGCTGAACATTTTAATAGCTGAAATAGCTGAAAGTATGCTGAAGTTGAATTTCCCCATTCATTTGAAAAGGCAAAAATTTGCTAAAAACACTAAATAGTTCAAAA